AAAGAAAGAAAGAAAGAAAGAAAGAAAGAATGAATCTGAGCAAACTATGGATGGACAGAAGACATGTCTAGTTTGACGAAAAGAAGGACCAGGGGAGACAGCAGAACATCTCCCAGTATTTGGGGGGCCACCACGGATGGTAGAGGGAGTTTCTTAGAACTAAGGAGAGAAATTTCCTGAAAGTGAAAACAATTCCTCATTGGAACAAATTGCCTCCAGAAGTTGTGAATCCTCCAACACTGGAGGTTTTTCAGAAGATGTTGGATAACCATTTGTCTGGAATGGTATAGGGTTTCCTGCCTAAGCAGGGGGCTGGACTAGAAGACCTCCAGGGACCCTTCCAACTCTTTGATTTTGTTATTCCTGTTTACAGGAAGTCCTCGACTTAAGAACAGTCCATTTAGTAACCGAACTTACAATGGCACTCAAAAAAGTGACTTATGACCGTTTTTCACACTGATGACCATTGCATTGAAGACCCAGGGCCACCCCTTCCTCATCCTAGGGCACACAGGGAGGAACGGAGAAGGGAGCAATGTGGGTTACGGGGGAGGAAAGGGCCCTGATCCCCTTCATTGGCTGCAGCTGGGAAGACTGTTTAAAAGGGCAAACCGCGCATGGCAAAGTTGCTGGAAGCAAAGCGTGAAATTATTCTGGTTTGTCACGTCTTATCTGGGTTCTGGCATCCTCCCAAATGTGTGTTATTATCTTTTGAAGTCTTCAATCCCTTATCCTGCCCTGTCTCATTAATTGCCGCAGTTTGTGTTGGTTTTTATTTATAATTTATATGTACTTTGGGCTCAACTGAATTTCTTCCCTTTAAAAACTGTTTTGGGGATAGTTTTCTCTCCAGCCGATGATAACTGGACACTGGAGGCCAAGTTGGAGGCATTCAAGGGACTTTACCTGCTTTTGTGACTTGGTTGCTTTTGTGCCACGCCCCGTTGGGTCATCACACAGCATCTTGGGAAGGGAGCTGGGTAGGATCACGTGACAAAGCTCCCCCCTCCATGGAAAATTCCCCACCAGCTTCCAAACAAGCAGACAAAAGGAAAATGATTCAGCTAACTAACGCTCTAATCGCCGGCATAGTAAAAGGGGTGTGAAACCTGGGTGTTGATTCACGGAACAATCGTTTTGCTTACAGGGCAAATCCTGCTCCCAATTGAGTCATAAGTCAAGGACCCTCTGACTCACCTGCTCTCTTGACTCCCAAGGGGGCAGGCAGGCAAGAACGGGCCTCAACGGCTTGCACACACACACACGCACGCACACACCCGAGCAGATTCACCGGGGACTGCGTGTTCCTAGCGCCTGGCGTTATGTAACACATCGCAATGTAGCCTTCGACACAATAGACTGTGCGGACAAAGAGCCCGAAGGACACAACAGCCTCCCAGACCTTCCCCCCCACCCTCCGCCCTCTGCAGATGCCAGGCAGCAGCGTCCTTTCCAAAGCGGAGCATAGAACAACTACGCAGCCGGACAACCAGACACAAGGACCGTTTCCCCCCTCCGAATGCCGTCCTTCTGCTAAACAACTCGTTCCCACAACACTGTCACCTTGTTTACTAAGTCTGTTTTACTATTCGCATCCTTCCTACTACCTATCTCCTTTTCTCCTGAGGGCTATGACTGTCTTGCTTGTATCTTTACGATTTATATTGTTTTATTTAGTTTCCTAGTATGATCTGATTGCTTTATTTAGTATCCTATGACTTATCACTAAGTGTTGTATCTTACATTTCTTGACGAATGTATTTTTTTTATATACACTTGAGAGCTTATGCACCGAAGACAAATTCCTGATGTGTCCAATCACACTTGGCCAATAAAAGAATTCTATATTCTACTCTACTCTACTCTACTCTACTCTACTCTACTCTACTCTACTCTACTCTACTCGATCCTTCATTCCAATATTTATTCTGTTCTGTTCTATTCCATTCCATCCTATCCTATCCTATGCTATCCTATCCTTTATTCCAATATTTCTGTTCTGTTCTTGTTCCATTCTGCTCCATCCCATCCCACCCATCCTATCCCTCATTCCAATTTCTATTCTATTCTATTCTATTCTATTCTATTCTATTCTATTCTATTCTATTCTATTCTAGTTTCTGTTCTATTCTATTTTCTATTCTATTCTAGTTTCTGTTCTATTCTAATTCTATTCTATTCTAGTTTCTGTTCTATTCTATTCTATTCTATTCTATTCTATTCTATTCTATTCTATTCCATTCTATTCTAGTTTCTGTTCTGTTCTATTCTATTCTATTCTATTCTATTCTATTCTATTCTATTCTATTCCTATTCTATAACTCAGAGCTTCCTAAATTATCATTCTGATGTGGTTTTATGTTTTCCCATGGAAGGAGGTCTCACTCTGGAAGGCCATCCTTGGAATATGGCATCCAGTTTTGGTCACCATGATATAAAGAGGAAAAAAAAACAGATTAACAGAGTTGGATGGGACCTCGTAGGCCATCTAGCCCAACCCCTCCACGCCCAAGCAGGAGACCCTACACCATTTCTGACAGATAGCAGTCCGGTCTCTTCTTGAAACCTTCCAGGGATGAATCTCCAACAACTTCCGAAGGCAATTTCTGTTCCATGGGTTGATTGTTCTCCCTGTCAGGAAATAGATAGATAGATAGATAGATAGATAGATAGATAGATAGATAGATAGATAGAGATAGAGATAGAAGAGTAGAGTAGAGTAGATATTGGATGAAGGATAGGATAGGATAGGATAGGATAGGATAGGATAGGATAGGATAGGATAGGATAGGATAGGATAGGATAGGACAGGACAGGACAGGACAGGATAGGACAGGACAGGATAGAATAGGATAGGATAGGATAGATTGGAAGGGACCTTGTAGGTCATCTAATCTAACCCCCTGCTTAGGCAGGAAGCCCTATAGCCTAAGGAAGAGATGGACCAGGGGTGATACAGCATCTTCCAATATTGGAGGGGCTGCCCCAAAGAAGAGGCAGTCAAGCTATTCTCCAAAGCCCCAGAAGGCAGGACAAGAAACCACAGATGGAAAGTAACCAAAGAGAGAAGCAACCTAGAACTATGGAGAAATGTAGTTGGCGGTGTGAACAATGAACCAGTGGAAACAATTTGCCTCCGGAAGTTGTGGGCGTTCCATTAACTGGAAATTTTTTAAGAAGAGATCGGACAACTCAGTCAAATGATCGGGATGCTGTCAGTTCTCCTGCTTAATCAGGGGATTGGACTAGATGACCTCCAAGGTCCCTTCCAACTCCGTAATTCTATACGGGGTCTTATGAAGCTCAGTCGCCTTACATGAAATGAATTGTCGCCTGTCCTGCTGCAACACTTGCGTTTTCTCCCTTGCTGCTTCCTTGCAGACCATAGCATGCAAGTCCTACTGTGTCAACATGAGTGCGTGCGGCAACTCGCCACACGGCCTGGACGACTCTCACCCATTGACAACTTCCTGCCCCTGCACTACGACTTCTTGCAGTTTGCTTACTTCAGAGGTAGGTCCAGCTCACCTGAGTTCCTCGGCTGCACACCGATCAGAGTTGCGTTGTCACCCAAAAGCTAAACCAGACACAAGTCTACAAACCCAAGAAAAAGCCCTTCTGGGTCAAGCCAAGCCCTCAATAGTCCAGTATTGTGTTTCTCCTAGAGGAGGACCAAGAATGGAGTCATTTTTATTTCTTGGCAAGTGGGATTAGGAGGCAGTTGACCCCCAACCTGGAGGTAGTATGGGGTCTTGAGGACCAGGAGACCTCAAAAGACCTTTCATCCATCAATTTATCCCCTTTTTTTAGAAGCCAGATCATTTAGTGCCCTTCATGCATCTTCTGGAGATGTTATCATATTCTTTGATAAGTGGGATTTGGAGGCATTTGACCCTCCAACCTGGAGGTAATATGGGGTCTTTAGGAACAGGAGACCTCAAAAGACCTTTCACCCATCAATATATCCCCTTTTTTAGAAGCCAGATCATTTGCGGTCCCTGATGCATCTTCTGGAGATGTTACCATATTTCTTGACAAGTGGGATTTGGAGGCAGTTGACCCCCAACCTGGAGGTAATATGGGGCCTTTAGGACCAGGAGACCTCAAAAGACCTTTCATCCATTAATATATCCCCCTTTTTAGAAGCCAGATCATTTAGTGCCCTTCATGCATCTTCTGGAGATGTTAGCATATTCTTTGACAAGTGGGATTTGGAGGCAGTTGACCCTCCAACCTGGAGGTAATATGGGGTCTTGAGGACCAGGAGACCTCAAAAGATGTCTCATCCATCAATTTATTCCCTCTTTTTTAGAAGCCAGACCATTTAGTGCCCTTCATGCATCTTCTGGAGATGTTATCATATTCTTTGACAAGTGGGATTTGGAGGCATTTGACCCTCCAACCTGGAGGTAATATGGGGTCTTGAGGACCAGGAGACCTCAAAAGACCTTTCATCCATTAATATATCCCCTTTTTTAGAAGCCAGATCATTTAGTGCCCTTCATGCATCTTCTGGAGATGTTACCATATTCCTTGACAAGTGGGATTTGAAGGCATTTGACCCTCCAACCTGGAGGTAATATGGGTCTTGAGGACCAGGAGACCTCAAAAGACCTTTCATCCATCAATATATCCCGTTTTTTAGAAGCCAGTCCAATCAGTGCTCCAATGTATCTTGTGAAGATGACGTTAGTAACAAGGTTGTAAAGCAAATCTGGCTTCCCCACTGACTTTGCTTCTCAGAAGGTTGCAAAACGGGATCACGTGACCCCTGGACATTGAAACCGTCCTAAGTACATGCCAGCTGCCCAGCGTCTGAATTTTGATCATGTGACCACGGGGATGCTGCAACGGTCGTTAGTGTGAAAACTGGTCATAGGACACTTTTTTCTTCGCAGTGACGCAACTTCGAACGGTCACTAAACGAACGGCTGTAAATTGAGAACTACCTGCGTCAGGCTCAAGGAAACACTGAATGTCCTGGGTTCAAGACCCTTCAACCCAGAGCTCAGGTTAGGCGGCATCACCTTTTGCCTGACACAGATGCCTGTTTTGGGGGGGGCTTGTCTGCTGGAAACAGCTGGTTTTCCAAAACAGCTGGATTTGTCAATCTTGGTCTTGCAAGAACTTGGTGTGGGTTTTTTTTGGAAGGGGAAACCCAAAAACACATCCACAACATCCAAAACACTCAAGGTTGTGTTTCTAAGTAAACAAGTCCTTTGTCCTGCCTGCCAAGGCTGGTGGGCAGAAGAGGGCAAAAGGTGACCCTAAAAAACCAGATGGCAAGCAAAACAAACCCCACTGCGCTTTTCTAGGGAGGGAGGGGAGAAGGCTGTCTGTCAACACTGAGAAAGAGGGGAGGAAGGAAAGAAAGAAGGGAAGGGAGGAAAAATATAAAGGAAGGAAGGGTATAAAAGAAAGAAGGGAGGGAGGAAGAGAGGGAGGGAGGAAGGAAAGGTATAAAAGAAGTGAGGAAGGGAAGAAGGAAATATAAAAGAAAGGAGAGAGGGAGGGAAAATATAAAGGAAGGAAGGGTATAAAAGAAAGAAGAGGGGGAGGTATAAAAAAAGAAGGGAGGGAGGAGGAGAGGGAGGGAGGAAGGAAAGGTATAAAAGAAACGAGGTAAGAAGGAAGGAAGGAAAAATATAAAAGAAAGGAAGGAAGGGAGGAAAAATATAAAGGAAGGAAGGGAGGAAGGGTATAAAAGAAGTGAGAGAGGGAAGAAGGAAGGAAGGAAAAATATAAAAAAGAAAGGAAGGGAGGGAGGGAAAATATAAAGGAAGGAAGGAAGGGAGGGTAAAAAAGAAAGAAGGAAGGTAGGGAAGAGGGAAGGAAAAATATAAAGGAAGGAAGGGAGGGAGGGAGGAAGAAAGGAAACCACATGCATATTTTAAATAAACATCTATAAAATAATTAAACTCCATTCTGCACTTAAACAGAAAAGAGAAATCGAAGACAAGACTGGGTATCTCCACTCTTCTTTCACAACCTGAAACATTTTAAGACCTGTGGAGTTGAATTCTGGAAAAAAAATGCCCCCTCGGCTTCCCCCTGTTCATTTAGTGACGGTTTGAAGTGAGATTGACAGCATGGAAAAAGTGGCTTAGGACCATTTTTCACACTTATGACCGTTGCAGCATCTCCCGTGGTCACACGATCGATCCCCTTTTGCAACTTTCTATCAAACCAAATCAACAGGGAACCCAGATTCGCTCAACAGTCATCTTACTAACTCAATGACTGCAGTGATCCACTTAGCAACGGTGGCCAGGAAGCTCATAGAGTGGGGCAAAGCTCGGTTTCACAACTGTCTCACTTAGCAACAGGAATTTGGGGTTCAATGGTCATTGTAAATCGAGGACTACCTGAAGAAGACACAACAAGCGGTTGTGGCGGAGAACAGCTGGAAGGAAACGGATGCATGGAAGAACCTCTGGGGGGAACTGAGCATGCTCAGAAATTACAAGGAGCAGGAATATAGGAGTTAAATTAAGTGCAGGAATATCGGAGTTAAATTAAGTGCAAGAATATTGGAGTTAAATTAAGTGCAGGAATATCGGAGTTAAATTAAGTGCAGGAATATAGGAATTAAATTAAGTGCCAGAATACCGGAGTTAAATTAAGTGCAGGAATATTGGAGTTAAATTAAGTGCAGGAATATAGGAGTTAAATTAAGTGCAGGAATATAGGAGTTAAATTAAGTGCAGGAATATCAGAGTTAAATTAAGTGCAGGAATATCGGAGTTAAATTAAGTGCTGGAATATCGGAGTTAAATTAAGTGCAGGA